CCCCACCGCCCCCCGCAGCCCATGAAAGCTCATGATACCATCTACATGTTTTGTTAGTCTTTAAAGTGCTACCAGACCATTTCTTGTTTTTTAAGTTTTTCGGTAACAGACTAACTTGGCTACCCCCTGAAGCTTTTGAACTATACGAAGTTTTATCTTTTCATAATGCCTGTGATCTGAGGATCTCAAAGTGTATCACACTTGCTAATTATAGGAATATTGTCTCATAGTGCCCTATACAGCAAGCATTAGACCCATTTTACAAACGGGGCAGAGTAAATTTTCACAGATTTATATCTTGTAAGGATAAAAAGAGTCCATAATGAACATCAAGGCTAGCATCCTTTATAAATCAGAGCATAGAATTTCACCCATGCTGTTATTTACAGACATTACCATGGTGTATTGAAATGATGGAATCAGGATTAGAACCCCTATGGCTCTACCCTCAAACGTTATGCACCAGTTCCTGCACTGCAGTCCCTCTCTATAAAAATTCCTACCATTTCCTTCCCAAATGTGCATGCCAAAAGAAAAGCCTTTAAAGGGAACAAAATATCCAGGCTCAAGACGGAGGAGTTATTTAGTAAACAAGAGTCCAAAAGCATGTTATATTTAAAAGGACAGGAAACGGGGATGATGTTTAAATGGAGTTATACACTTACAGTTGTTCAAGCTCTCCCAATCCTTCTGCTGCAGTCACATGTCCGAAATTATGTTTTTATAACTCTGCCAAACTGCGTTCTTAAAACATGTAAAATATAACATCACTGTGCACCACTGGGTCTGTGCAGTGAAGAAAGCCCGTCTCATTTTAGAAACCACGTTGAAGTCTCAGGGCTTGTTTGAACGTTGAATCCAAACCAAGAGGTGCTGTCGCATCTAAGTGAAAGGAGACATCAAGTCCAGATTTCGAACAGACTGTTTAGGTGCTCAGCTCCGACAGCAAGGAACAGGTTCTCAAAGACCTGAATTCTTGAAAATGTTGTACATAAACATCACACCAGGAACTCCTGCGGGCTGAGAACTTTTGAAAATCTGACCCTTCTTTTGCTTTCAAAGTAGGAGCTGAGCTCCTGTGAAAATCTGCCCTCAATTACAATCTTGTCTGAACTCTTGAAAATCTGGTTCCCGGTATCTGGAGGTTTTGTTTAATTTTCTGTATCCAAAGTCATGCTCGGATAGCAACATGGTAGGTTTTGACCCATGTGGTCGATATAGTCTCATATTTTCAAAAATGTCCCAGTGACCTAGGTATCACAGCCCCATTTTTCAAAATGATTTAGGAGTCTGTGGTGTTTAGGTGCTCATAGGGCTAGACAGCAGCTGAGCAGGAGTTTTGTAAATGCCTGTGGTACCTAAATGTTTGACTTAGTCCCTCTTCTGAATCTCACCCTCAGTGCTTAGGTCTCTAACAATGAAATCCCCAAGTTGCCTACATTTCAATAGCTGATCACGTGCAGTCACCTAAGTCCTGACTATCAAGCAGCTCAATACTTAACTCATTGTAAGCCCCAATGGGATTCACAAACAAGGTGTTCCCCTACTCATCTTGCCTTTGTCACCCTGCTCTAGTAAATATACTTTAAGAGACCCATAAAGTAATATTGCAGTGTCAAGTATTGATTTGAATGGTTGGTCATAAGAACATAAGAACATAAGAACGGCCGTACTGGGTCAGACCAAAGATTCTTCTAGCCCAGTATCCTGTCTACCGACAGTGGCCAGCACCAGGTGCCCCAGAGAGGGTGGACCGAAGACAATGATCAAGCGATTTGTCTCCTGCCATCTCTCTCCAGCCTCTGACAAACAGAGGCCAAGGACACCATTTTATCCCCTGGCTAATAGCCTTTTATGGACCTAACCTCCATGAAATTATCTAGCTTCTCTTTAAACTCTATTATAGTCCTAGCCTTCACAGCCTCCTCTGGCAAGGAGTTCCACAGGTTGACTACACGCTGTGTGAAGAAGAACTTTCTTTTATTAGTTTTAAACCTGCTACCCATTACTTTCATTTGGTGACCTCTAGTTCTTCTATTTAGGGAACTAATAAATAACTTTTCTTTATTCGCCCTCTCCACACCATTCATGATTTTATAGACCTCTATCATATCCCCCCTCAGTCTCCTTTTTTCTAAACTTCTAGTTTAGTATGCTATGGTGAAGCTGACCTAACCCCCAGTGTAGACAGTGCTTGATCAAAGGAAGAACTCTTCCATCAATCTAGCTGTTGTCGGACAGGGGAGACAGATTATGGACACCAATAGGAGAACCTCTCCCATCACTGCAGTGTCTACACCAAGTGCTGCAGCAAGCCGACTGTGAACTGTGCTGCTGTAGAGTTTTAATTACAGATGTAGCCCAAGACACAAGGGAAGTGGGTGGTAACTCTTTAATTCACCCTTAGGTCTGGTCTACACTACAGCAGAAGGTCAAATTAAAATCTGCAACTCCATTTACATTAGTTACATAGCCAGGGTCGACATATCTTAAATCCCATTTCTGCACCGTCTACCCGGTAGAAGGCCGACAGGACCAAATGCTCCTGTTGGCTTGCCTTACTCCTCATAACTCGCTAAATTGATCCTAAGAAGATCGACCATAGCAATATCGCTCTTCTGCATAGTGTAGACGTGCCCTGAGTGTCTGCCTTTTGCTGTGCATATGGTACTATAAATTTTCCACTGGCTTTGGAAACCCTGCTAGAGGTCCATATGTGCTGTTACTTCAGTCTCTTTGTCTACAATAGTGTAAACATTGCTTCCTACTATATTTTTAACAGTGTTTGGTGTAAAACTGATTGGCTTTGTTTTTAAATGACTGTTTTCTGCTCATGATTCATCAGTTTGGGAGATTCCCTCTGAAAGCTATACAAAATAAACACTGTTTGGGCACTCCCATTTGTGAATGAGTCAGAGGAGGAGATATTCAGTTCTTTGTGGACTTCCATTGTTTTTGTAAATGTATTGGGCATTTCATTCATCTAAATCTCTGCTTTTTCCCTGGTTCCCTTTCCTGAAAACAGAATTCTTGAAGTCCAAAGCCCTTTTCCTCTCTGTGGGCGCTATCCTGGCAATTACCGTATATACTCGAGTATAAGCCGACCCGAATATAAGCCGAGGCACCTAATTTTACCACAAAAAACTGGGAAAAAGTATTGACTCGAGTATAAGCCTAGGGTAGGAAATGAGGCAGCTACTGGTAAATGTAAAAAATGAAGATAGATACCAATAAAATTACATGAAGATTTTCAAAGGTATTTTAGGCATGTAAAAGTTGCAAATAGGCATCTAGTGGGATTTTCACTAAGCAGGGGAGGTGTTAACTCCCACTGAGAATGCTTTGTCCCCAGCTTCCATCCTGGTCTTATGATGTGCATTTTCCCAGAACAGCACAGCCCTTGTGGGGCTTTATATGCCACCGTTTGGTCTTTGAAGTAGCTGGGGCTTGATCCATCCATGGCATTGACGAGTAGGATCAAAGCCTTAAACTGGCATTGGTAGCTGACATACAGCCAGGGTCTCCAGCACGGAGAAGGCAAGCAGCTACAGTCTTTATCATCTGCAGGCTCTGAATCAGCTCTGCCATGACATCTCATGATGAGCCAGAGGAGAAGACTTCAGACACTCACCGGGTCTGCCTCTGTGTTCTTAACAAGGAACCCCCGAGCAGCTGCAACCCAAGCGGCCGGCAGAGGCTCCGAGCGCCCCGCGCAGCGACGGCCCCCGACACACGGAGCCCAGCCCGCTCCCGGCAGCGCCCCCCGCCCCGAGCGCCTCGGTTACCGGGGCCGGAGCTCTGGGCTCACGCGGCTAGACCCGGCCGGCGGCAGAGACGCGCTGAGCCCGCCTGCCTCAGTTCTCGAGACGCTGACTCGAGTATAAGACGAGGGGGGCATTTTTCAGCACAAAAAATGTGCTGAAAAACTCGGCTTATACTCGAGTATGTACGGTATTCAGTTTTTTTCTTAGTCTGGACTACATCCTCAGCAGCTGAAAATCAGAATAAAGTTGCTGATGTCGATGTAGCTATGTTTATTTACAACACCTGAAGAGTTGGCCTTTGGCGTCTTTAAATTATTGTGATTAGGAATGTTGACTTTTATAGCAAAGAATAACAAATCCTCCACGCAGGAGTTCTCAGATGGAATTCTATGGTCTGTATTCCAAAGAAAGGTAGAGAGGTTGATCACAGAGGTTTCTTCTGTGCTTAAATTCCATGTATATTGGCCAAACTGGAGAGTCTCTGTGATAAAGGATTAAGGGATGCCAATCAGACATCAGGAATGGTAACACCCAGAAATCTATAGGGGAACTTTTTAACTTCCCTGGACATTCAATAATGAATTTAAAACTAGACATTCTTCTTCAAAGGAATTTTATCACTCAATTACAGAGGGAGACTGCTGAACTGGAATTCACTTATAGCTGCGACACTATCAACTTGGGCTTCAATAAAAACATTAACTGATTCACTCACTACATAGGCAATTTCCCCTGCCTTTGATAAACTCATTTACACATCAGAATCTATTAAGGGGACACATCCAGCCTTATTCAATTATCATTAACACTGGTCCTACAATTGACAGGTAACTGCTTTTCCTGTTATGTATACTCTGGAGTCTATAATTTTCACTCCAACTCATCTAATGAAGTGGGATTTACCCATGAAAGCTCGTGATATATTTGTTAGTCGGTAAGGTGCCACAGGTCTGCTCATTGTTTTTAAATTCCATGTTAGTAATAGATAAAAACTGTTTTGAATTGTTAAGTTCTGAGCCAAACAATCAGATAAAGACTCAAAAAATTGCCTCAAGAAATGGGCAACAGGTCCAATAGTGATACAGGTATGAGATTTTCTTCAATGAAAATAAATATCACTTTGATCCTGACAGTGTTCCCTTTGAAGATATATTTTTGCTTTTGTATTAGAAGCATCCTCTTAAGTTTGTTCATGCCATGGCATTTGCATTCTGATCTGTTTTCTCTCTTGGATAGGAATTTCCCTTGGCAGTCATTGGAGGGCCAGAATGCTACTGTGGCTATCCCACAATGCATTTCACTCTTCATGACAGCGTGGACAGGTTGTTTTGCAGCAGGCAGCAGAACGTCAGTAGTGTGGCTGAGGTGCCAAGAGACGAGAATTACTATCAAGTCTATCAGACTCCAGTACAAGGTAAATGCTGCAACTCAACAAGAGGCGTCTAAAGGCAATGAAGCTATGCCCACTTCTACCAGGTGAACATTCAGCCAAAATGGTGTTTGCTCTCATGGCCAGGCCACATTCTGGTTTGAATCTTTTCAGACTATCTAGACCAAAATTCCTCCTGCTTTTTCATTTGTATGTGGTAGTCTTTCACTTCCTTTGCTACACTGATATCTGATTTTGTTAGGACCAGTTGAAAAATGGAGTGTTTTCTACCCTGGAGATGCCAGCGTTTTAGTGGTAAATAAAATTTCTGTAGGATTCTTTGCTGCATATGTGTATATAAATGTATGTGTTAAGTAACCCAAACATAGAAAAATAACATAGAGAAAGTCCAGTGGAGGGCAACAAAAATAATTAAGAGGCTGGAGCACATGACTTATGAGGAGAGGCTGAGGGATTTGGGCTTATTTAATACATGAAGGGGAGAGTGAGGAGGGATTTGATAGCAGCCTTCAGCCACCTGAAGGGAGGGGGAGTCCAAAGAAGATGGAGAAAGGTTGTTTTCAGTGGTGACAGATGATAGGAGGAGGAGCAATGGTTTCAAGCTTCAGTGGCGGAGGTCTAGGTTGGCTATTAAGGAAAACAATTTCCCTAGGAGGGTAGTGATAACCAGTGAGGTGACGGAGTCTCCATCCCTAAACATTTAAATCCTGTCTGGACAATGCCCTGTCTGGGATGATTTAGTTGCGACTGGTCCTGCTTTTAGCAAGGGGTTGGACTCATGACTTCCTGAGGTCCCTTCCAACACTATGGGTATGTCTAGACTACATGGCTCTGTCGACGGAGCCACGTAGATGAGTTTACTAGACATAGGAAAATGAAGCAGTGATTTAAATAATCGCTGCCTCATTTACATCAAAATGTCCGCCGCGCTGTGCTGATCAGCTGTTTGGCTTCACAGCAAGGGAAGCCTTTGTTGACCGCTCCAGTAAACCTCATTTCACGAGGCATACCGGAGCGGTTGACAAAGGCTTCCCTTGTCGACTGTGGCATGTCCAGACTGCCCTGCTGTGAAGCCAAACAGCTGATCAGCACAGCGCGGCGGACATTTTGATGTAAATGAGGCAGCGATTATTTAAATCACTGCTTCATTTTCCTATGTCTAGTAAACTCATCTACATGGCTCCGTCGACAGAACCATGTAGTCTAGACATACCCTATGATTATATGATTCTATATAATGATTCTATATATGATTCTGTTTTATATACACATATATACTTGTTGTTTAGTAATTAACACAAAATAAATATTTTATATGTGATGTTTACAAGAGTAAAATAGTCATGCAAGAAAGACAAGGGATTTTGGGTATGACATAATAAATAGTGGCTTTTGGAAATTCATGGGCAGTTTTATGGGCTTTAGATTTTTCAAATGACACAATTAAGCACTTTTCCTGCACCCTGTATTGAACGACATTGATAATGTGCTATAGGTCAATAAACCTGAAAGGAGACTTTCAAAGACTTTTTACAAACAATGATTTACAAACCAGAGCATCCAGTGAGATATCCTGTATATCATGGACCCACACCACCACCTGCACACTGAACCCAGTCCCACACACCCCGTTTCTCGGAGCCAAACAGCTACGTGACTATCAAAAACAGAACCTACGTGTCTAGTTCTGTGATTAAACCATAAACCATGCTCTTTCTGTCTCATACATACTGCAGTTACAGCTGCATTAAAACCAAGTGTTACCAGCATGTCTAATTTACTTTAGGCATCTTCCTCTAAATCCACACCCCCATCTAGAAGTAGGTTGGTCACATTGACAGTAAGGCCTCAATCCAGCAAATCACTTCAACTTAACGGCACACTTAAGTCTCTGAGTAATTTCACTGATCTCAGAGGGACATGCATGAAGTTGAGCAGAGCTCTAAGAGTCCTCCTGGACAGAGGCCTAAACTTCTGCTCACAGCTCATTTTCACCACTATAGGTCAGACTCAAAGTAGGCCCACTTCTGCGCATTCACTGGTGCATGCACCTAATGGACTTCAGCCCTCTGAATGGCTTTGAAAATCCAGAGGTTTCACTGTGCATGTGTCAAGATGCTTGGAAGTTCAAATTAATTTGGGTAGGAATCCAGGAGTTCAAGCAGGGAATTTTCTCATTAACTTCAGCCTGGCCAGGATTGGGGCTCCAAATATGAACTGTGAATCCTTCAAAATGTAGTTTGATTTTAGAAATCAGTCATGTTGTGGAGGGCTACTGGGACACCCGCCAGGTGGAATCACATGCCGGCATTCTTCCACGGCGACTTTTAGATGGCTGGCATTGCATGCGCTGTGATAAGGAGCAATATGCAACATTTCTTTGTTTTGTTCATTAGGGATGACCCTTCATGGGTTATCTTCATTCCCCCCTCTGAGGTGAGGCAGGCGTTAATAGGTATACGTATAGAATACCAAGCTCTCGGCAAGCACTTTTCACCAGTACAGCTCGAAGTCCTTTGCAGAGGTCAGCATTATTATCCCTGTGTTACAGATGCAGAAGTGGGCATGGAGGAGCAAAGTGATTGTCCCAAGGTCACCCAACAGGCCAGTGGTGGAAATGGGACTAGATTCCAGGGCTCTCAAAACCCACTGTGGGTAATGCCCTGGGCAATGCCATTAAACTATTCTAATCAGTTCCACAGTGTAAGATGCCCATCCAGATTCTGAAATATAATGGGAGACAAGAACTGTGAGCCCACCCCTCTCTGTTTTAGAGTCAAGTCCATTTCATTTAAGCTATACATGGTCAGGGTTTGAGGCCTTCTTTTGCATGACAAAAGCTCCCACTAGTCAGCTGACCTGACCTTCTACAGCAGGGGTGGGCAACCTGCAGTCCAAGGGCCTTTTGTGGCCTATCGGGGTTCTATGTGCGGCCCGCGAGACATTTCGTTGACTCAAGGTTGCCAGATTCCACTGGTTGTCATTTGTATCAAGTTTTTTCCTATCGTTATTACTAAAGTGACATGCATATCAAGCCAGGACATGAGGTGGGTGCTGATTGTGCATAATATTGACCATGAAAGCCGTGCGCTCCCTCTGCAGCCAGTCAGAGCACTGTTACAGGGTCAATCAGCACACCCCGCAAATTCTAGGTACACACGCGTACTTAGCAGAGTTGCCCAATCTTGGGAGACTTTGTTACAAATGAACTTGCAGCTCATTGAGATGAAAGAGGCCAGCCGTGCAGCCTACTCACTAGCCTAGGTTGCCCATCGCTGTTTCACACACTTTTTTTTTAGGGATGCTTCTTTGCAAGAGGGGTTCCTGATTCCTCGCCCCTCCCCCAAAATGTACCTCCATGTTTTCTGTCTGTATGGAAATCAGTGGATTATTCTGTAAACAGACACACCCTAGTCAGAAATGGCCTTTTTAGAGGTACAAAGAGAATGATTTTGGCTCACATTCATGGCAATTCTATTTTTAAAACAGCACATGTAATCTGTCTTCTGTTTGCAATATTTTGGCAACCATGCAGGGCTTTAAAAGCATGGAATGTTGCTTTACTTTTGAAAATCCCAGCTTAAGAGGTTGCATTGAACTCTGACTCATTGTAGCAGGAGGGGTTTCCCATAAGACACTTGATTTGCAAATCTACTTGGCATATTCAGGCTTCAGTGAATGGCCAGCCTGCCACGCAAATAGCTGTTAAACATACATCAAGGGGCTTTATCAGAACCTGTAGGTAGGCACAATAATTCATTGCAGTTCTAATAATGAAGCACTGCCTAACATGACGTCAATTTCTTGAAAGGATTTTGTCTCCTCCAAGAATAAACTCGGTTCTCTTAAGGCTGAATTAATTTTAAGTATCTGAATCACAACTGGACTGAAACTGATATCCTAGGATATAAATAGAAGATGAAAGCATTAAACCTTGTAATCAGTAGCTGTCAGTAAAATGTATTAAGAAGCTGCAAAGCTTAAAATGAAATATCTTCTGTACTTACAGACACCCGATGCACAGATAGGAAATTCCTCACTACCAAATCCAAAGTGTTTGTTGCTTTGTCTAGTTTTCCTGGGGCTGGTAATACCTGGGCTCGCCATTTAATTGAACACGCCACTGGATACTACACTGGAAGCTATTACTTTGATGGAACCCTCTATAACAAAGGTATTGTCAGAGACACATGAAAACCTGAAATCATCTTGAAACATGAATGTTTATTTACTTGTCTTGACATTTGTCTCTGGAATGAATAAGTCTCTTTGTTATAAACATCCATGCTAAAATGGAAACATCGCTTTGGAATGTGAGTGTATTACTTCTTGTCCTACCTTTCAAACATATTGTACAGCGTGCAGAGACTGGTTGAATAGCATATGTAAACTGATGCACAAAAATTTTCATTTGTAAAATCTTGCTCTGATTTGTGGGGTCACATTAGGTAAACTATGCAAATTTAAGAATTGATTATTATTATCCTTGTATCTCTCTCTGTGTGTGTCTATGTCCCTAACCCCCATCTTTCTCTTTCTCTTACACACACACACACACACACACACACACACACACACACACACACACACACACACTCGCCTCTTTCTCTCTCCCTCCCCGCCCCACTGCACCCTCAGAATTGGCCCATAAAGAATTTTGTAAATAAAAAGTGAGCTAGATTCTTAGGCTCAGATTTTCAAAGGCACCTCAAGAATTTGGGTCAAGATTTTCTAAACTGACTTGTGGCTGTGGGCCCAGTGAGAGACAAGTTAAAGGGTTCTGATTTTTTGAGAGCACTTGCCCTCTTAAAATCAGGCTTCTATAAGGTGTCTCAAGTTGGGCACCCAAAAATAATGGATCATGTAAGAAAATCATAGAATGACAGAAATGTAGCTCTGGAAGGGACCTGGAGAAATCATCAAGTCCTGATTTCTGTACTGAGGCAGGATCAAGTTTACCTAGATCTTTCCTTCAGGGTGTTTATCCAACCTGTTCTTAAAAATTTCCAGTAATGGGGATTCCATGAACTCCCTTGGAATCCTCTTTCAGAGCTTAACTGCCCATATCATTGGAAAGTTTTTCCTAATATTTAACCTACATCTCCCTTTCTGCATGTTAAGCCCATTACTGCTTGTCCAGCCTTCAGTGCATTTGGAGACCAATTGATCCCTGTTTTCTTTACTCCTGCCCTGAACATCTCCAGCTGAGGCCTCACTAGTCAGGAACCAAAACTGACTCTTATAGGACCCCACCGGATATATGAATAATTGACAATTACTCTTTAAGTACTATCTTTCATGCAATTTCACATCTGTCTTGTAGTAATTCTATCTAGACCACATTTCCTTAATTTGCTTATGAGAATGTTATGTGGGACTGTGTCAAAAGCCTTACAAAAATCAAGACATGATGGCTACTACTTCCCCCCATCCACTAGGCCAGTAATCCTTTCAAAGAGGAAAATTAGGTTGGCTTGGCATGATTTGTTCTTGTCAAGTCCTGGTTGACTGTCCTTTATAGCCATATGATCTTCTAGATGCTGATAAATTGTTGAATAATTTGTTCCGGTATCTTTCCAATTATCAAAGTTAGGCTGAGTGGTTTATTATTCCCTGGGCTCCCTTTGCTCCCCTTTTTACAGATTGGCAAACACAGAACCTTTCTTCTCTTCTTTGGGGTCTACTTATCCTCCATGAGTTCTTGAAGATAATTGCTAACTATTCTGAGATTACTTCCACTCTGTGATTGCTTCCAGTAATTCCTGGCCATCATATATAATTCATTTACAATTATTAATATTGTGGTAGCGCCTGGGAGTCCCAGTCAAAGACCAGGGTCCTATTGATCTAGGAGCTATACAAATCCAGGGGAAAAAAGGTGGTCCCTGCACCAAAGATCTTACTGGCCAACTAAAATTAAGAGTTAATATGGTCACATAGTTGGTCATTGAGAAAATCAGGAATAGCATTTCAGACATCCTGACTCCTAGCCCACTCTTCTAAGTTACTTCATCTCTTGTTGTAGTTAGAATTTTACACCATGGCTGTGTCTAGACTGGCCAGTTTTTCCGGAAAATCAGCCGCTTTTCCAAAAAAACTTGCCAGCTGTCTACACTGGCCGCCTGAATTTCCGCAAAAGCACTGACTTCCTACTGTACGAAATCAGTGCTTCTTGCGGAAATACTATTCTGCTCCCGTTCAGGCAAAAGTCCCTTTTGAGCAAAGCTTTTGCACAAAAGGGCCAGTGTAGACAGCTCAGATTTGTTTTCTGCAAAAAAGCCCCAATCGCGAAAATGGCGATCGGGGCTTTTTTTGGAAAAGTGTGTCTAGATTGGCATGGACGCTTTTCCGCAAAAAGTGCTTTTGCGGAAAAGCGTCCGTGCCAATCTAGACGCTCTGTTCTGAAAATGCTTTTAACGGAAAACTTTTCCGTTAAAAGCATTTCTGGAAAATCATGCCAATCTAGACACAGCCCATTAGAGGATCTTGTTTACAATAAGAAACCTGCATGACAAACAATGAATCCCTCCTATTTTTTTTAAAAAAACAGGCTTTAAAGGAGAAAAAGACCACTGGCGAAGCAGGAGGACGATCTGTGTGAAAACACATGAAAGTGGCAAAAGAGAGATTGAAATGTTTGACTCTGCCATCTTGCTGATACGGAACCCGTACAAATCGCTAATGGCGGAATTCAACAGGAAGTGTGCGGGCCACCTGGGATATGCAACAGATAGGAACTGGAAGAGTAAAGGTAACAGGCCGAGCCATTGCTACTCAATGGGTGCCTAAAATTGACTTCAAAAGGTTTGACAGTAGGGTGTGATCCGTAGTGCAAATGGGCCAGCATGGCCAGTACGCCACAACAGTGAGTTATTTTTAGCTGGTATGGAGTACCAGAAAGACCCTCTGCCAGCCATCCCCAACCCCTCCACTGCACAGCTGCAGCTCCGTGTACAGGGCTGGAGCCTGGGGTGCAGGGCTGGGAGCGTTGTGGCAGCCGGAGGAGCTGCTGGCAGTTTTGCTCCTTTCCACATGGCCCCTCCCAGTGGGGGAAGGAGCAGAATTCCCCGCCCTTCCTCCCCCACAAGCAGGGCAGCTCTGTGGAAAGGCAGGGGCTGAGGGTTCTGCTCCTTACCCTGCTGGGAAGGGCCACAGGGAAAGGAGCATAAAATGTACCGCCGCTGTACCACCACCAGCCTCCTGTCCCCCAGGTAACATGGGATGGGGAGGGGAAGATAGAAGTCCAGGGATGGGGGTGGGGAAGAGTCATGTGGAGGGGTCATATGGGGAGGTTACATGGCTCCCCATAGCTGGTGTGCCCTCCCTCCCTCCTACCCCCACACACAGGTATGAAATTGTGATTACTTGCTACAGGTGTTGTTGGTAGAGCAATGCAGTGAGGGCCTGACCCAACGCTCACTCAAGTCCATGAGAGTTTTGCCATTGAGGTTAATGAACTTTGCATCAGGCCCTTGAGCTGAAGGAGGCCCTAGAAACCTCAGACCTGAATTCTGGAGGTGGTTCGTCTCCAACAGTCAGTGGAAGGGAGCCCAGCAGAAGGCTGATTTTCTAGCACCGGCAATGAGGAAACAGCATGGCAGAGTGAATTTCTCTTTGCAGAGAAACTCTGCACACAACCCATGTAACCAGGCGGTGTGCTGACCCCACCATATCTAACAGGTCAGGGCGATTAAAGGGATTAGTTTCAGATCAAGGATACGATGGAACAGGATTTGCTGGGGTCCGTTTTTATGCATTTTACAGACATTACTGTAGCACAGATTAGTAACAATCAGACTTGTTGACTGTTACTCAAACCTCCTGAACATGTTTAAAAATGCACCCACCGCAGTCTGCTTTTTCTTTTCAATTAGCAAAGCAAATGAGAGCTTTAAATGCTCCCCTGAATGCACTGCTGCCTTCATGCTAAATACAATACTAAAGAAGTCAGCAAGGGCTTCTCCATTTAGAGCTCCTAAGCATTAGAATTAGGGAAGGGCAAACTGCACAAACACTTTTTTGAGGGGGAAGAGGAGGAGGTTACAACAGTGTAGTACCCAGAGATTGGAGATCCTTATGCTAGGTGCTGGACAAACACATAGTAAGGAACAACAGAGATTCCAATCTCACAAACAAGACAAAGGATAGGAATAGAGTGGAGGAGTTGGGTGAAAGAGATGCCTAAAAAGGAGACACATCAGTGGTAGAACTGGAATTAGATTACATATCTTGTGACTTCCAGTCCAGTGCCGTTTTCATTAGAATCACTCCTCTCTTTGCAGCAACTGTGCTGCAGGGGAAGCCTTGAAATTAGTCCGGGACAGGCTTCCCTAATGTGGATGTATTACCTCAGTTTGGAGCCCGAGGAAGCACTGGGGAGTAATTCATTTGAATGGCCCTGGAGAGAAACTATTAGCACCAGTGTAGCATCCACACTACAGTTATTTTGTAATAGCAATTTCGAAATAAGTGTTATTCCTCATTAAATGAGAGTTTTGAAATAAGAACCCCGTTTTTGAAAATTTTTTGAAATAACGGGCTCGCAGTATGGAGGCTCGCCTTGTTATTTCAATGTAACTCTGTGGTGTAGACATGCCCTGATAGTTTGCAACCACTGGGCTGTGTCTAGACTGGCAAGTTTTTCCGGAAAAACTTGCCAGTCTAGACACAGCCCAGTGGTTGCAAACTATCAGGGCATGTCTACACCACAGAGTTACATTGAAATAACAAGGCGAGCCTCCATACTGCGAGCCCGTTATTTCAAAAAATTTTCAAAAACGGGGTTCTTATTTCAAAACTCTCATTTAATGAGGAATAACACTTATTTCGAAATTGCTATTACAAAATAACTGTAGTGTGGATGCTACACTGGTGCTAATAGTTTCTCTCCAGGGCCATTCAAATGAATTACTCCCCAGTGCTTCCTCGGGCTCCAAACTGAGGTAATACATCCACATTAGGGAAGCCTGTCCCGGACTAATTTCAAGGCTTCCCTGGAGTTTGGGCACGCTATTTCAAAATAGTTATTTTGGGAGTTATTATTCCAAAGTAACTTATTTTGAAATACTCTTGGGCTATGTCTAGACTGGCAAGTTTTTCCAGAAAATCAGCCACTTTTCCGGAAAAACTTGCCAGCTGTCTACACTGGCCGCTTGAATTTCCGGAAAAGCACTGACGATCTCATGTAAGATCGTCAGTGATTTTCTGGAATTACTATGCTGCTCCCATTTGGGCAAAAGTCTTTTTCCGAAAGACTTTGCGCAAAAGGGCCAGTGTAGACAGCACAGTACTGTTTTCCGCAAAAAAGCCCCGATCCAGAAAAGCATCCTGCCAATCTATACATGCTTTTCCGAAAATGCTTTTAACGGAAAACTTTTCCGTTAAAAGCATTTCCGGAAAATCATGCCAGTGTAGACGTAGCCTTGTAGTGTAGACTTTCTCTCAATGTACTACTTGTGAAGACTTTGGCACAGGCTTTCTTGTTCAAGCAGAATTAATTCAGTGAAATCCTAGGTTGTACAGGATGTCAGACTAGATGATCATAATTATCCTTTCATTTATGAAAATCTTTTGTAGATTTCCTCCCCCCACGCAGCAACACGTCCCTTCTCTGCCTCTGTTTTTCAGTGAGTTTTCTAAACACCACACAAACTCAGCAACTTTCACATTCCAACCAAACACACAAGATTTAGTGTGGGTTTAAACTAGAGCTGATTTTAAAAACACTCAGAGGGGTAGCTGTGTTAGTCTGTAACTTTAAAAACAACGAGCAGTCCTGTGGCACCTTAGAAACTAACAGAAAATATATAGTATCATGAGTTTTCTTGGGCAAAACCCATGAGCTCATCTAAGGAAGTGGGTTTTGTCCATGAAAGCTCATGATACCCCTGATACTATATATATTTTTGCTAGTCTGTATTGGCCTGTCTAAATAACTGCCCTTATTTCGAAATAACAAGGAGAGCATGCACACTACAAAGCCTGTTATTTCAAAACAAGGGGCTGGCAATTTCAAAATAATAACTTCTGCTTGTGAAGAGAAATAAGCTTATTTTGAAATAATCTGGTAGTGTAGACATAGCCTAAGGTGCCACAAGATTACTCATTTTTAAGAACAATGAACATTTTCCACTAAAAAAATTAACATTTTGCATGGAAAAATATGCATTGAATTATCAACATTTTTTTAAAAAAAATCTCACCAGCTTTAAGTCAAACTTAGGCAAAAAGAAGTCAGCTGTCCCTAGCAAGCAGGAAAAATACTACTTCAGTTTGTAATTTTGCTGGGCCTTCAGCAAGATCTGGTTTGGCCTCATTCTGCTGCTGCCCCAGGAGACTAGGAAATTATTAAAACATAGTGTGGGTTGGATCATCTAATATTTCTCCTTCCCCATCTCTTTTCCCCAATGTTTAGAATGGCCAGACTTTGTAAACAGCTACGCCTCATGGTGGGCCTCTCACGTCATAGACTGGTTAAAATATGGAAAGCATCTTCTTGTTGTTCACTATGAAGACTTAAAACAGAATCTCATCCCCAAGCTGAAAGAAATGGTGGAATTCTTAAACATGACAGTGACAGAGGACCGACTGCTCTGTGTCGAAAACAACAGAGATGGGAATTTCAAGCGGTCAGGTGCTAGGCAGAAGGATTTTGAGCCGTTCACCCAGGAAATGAAAGATCTTATCAACAAATACATCCTGACAGTGGAAGAAGCACTGAAAAGAAGAAACCTCACAGGGCTGCCAAGAGAGTATCTTCCAAGATGATATGCCAGTAGCAGTTAGCTGTGTTTTTAATATAAAACAAAAATAAATAAAGACGAGACCAGAGCTTTATGGCTACAAAAGCAAAGATGTTCTTGGAGTCTGCTGAGGAATGCAAATTCTATCCTCTCTTGGATGTTCTTCAGGGGCACCAAGTGCTTCAAAAAGCAAGTGATGAAGGATGGAAACTGGGTTATAAATGAAGGAAAAAGCTATTAGTGTCCGCCTCTGTGTGTCCTTCCCTATTTAAATGGCTACAAATTTAAGAGTTGTGCACTGCTAATTAGGAAAAGGGTTCCTTCTTCTCATTCTTACTGCCTACTAGCAATACCTGTTAAGAATATCTTGAGATTTTGCAGTGCTTGGAAATCCATCATTCATATGTATGGAAACTCCTCAAAGCCGATAAATGTTTTCACCCTAGCTTTTAAGACAGTTAATTGTTTTCTTCTTAATTCCCCCTCACATTAGACTTTTATTGGGGTTGCAAAGGAGAGAGAGAGAAATATCCCTGCAGTGAGCACTTTCACAGAGATATGAACTGTCAGACAAATCTGGTCTAAGGCTCACTTTAAAAACCTAGACTTGGACTGGTCAGTCCACTGACTTGTCGAAAATAACATTGTTGCATGGTAGAGCTGATTCAAGACTGACTTTGGGTTTTCATCATAACATGGACTCAAAACATGTGCCAAGAGAGGTATAAATCTCCATGTAGGAGGTGAATCCTGTCTCCAGCTTGCAGTCTCTTTGGGTTGGAATCAAGGAGAATGGTGGGTTTCCTTTGGTGATAGGATATATAGCCCCATGCAGAAGGGGCATGAACCAGGAAAAGAAGTAATTCCCAACAGCAAAAAATGGCAATTCTGGATAAAGAAATGGTCCAAAGGTTCATGCTCTCATCAAACTCAAACCAGCCCCAAATTCAGAGACATACCTCAGGTTTGGTGAAAGCCCCATTGTATATTATCTCCCCGCTGGGTTGGAAAAGGGTGATGAGAGCAAGAGAAGAACAAAGCATTTCATTTCTGTTACCAGTGACACTCAAGGCCTAAGCAAGAACCCTCTGTCTTTAAGGTTGGTTTCTACAATGAGTGCTGTCATCGGGCCTGGTGTGTCATTTGGGCCCAGCTGAGAGCTTAGCTGTACAGAATACTGAAGAGTCAGTAAAGTGTTTTGGATAATGGCCCCAGTTAGTTGATCAAACTAGTAAGTGTGAGGACTGGGAAACAGGGCACAGGCAGCCAGGGGAGAAGAGAAGCCTTATGGGAGGGAGATGCTGCCGGTAGAGATGGTGAATGACGAGGACCATGCAACGTGCTTGCTGGCCTCTTAACAGACAAAAAAATATTCCTACCTGGGTAGATTCACCCCTTCCAGATGTCTTAAGCGTTCTAGCTAAAGACATAAGCTACTCGTTGTCCTCAGTCGTCATCTCCAGCTTTCCCCCACCCCTTAAGGGCGGTTATTTAAGAGTTAAGGATTAAGTAACTTTTGAGAAAATGGAGGTCTAGTATGTGACTATGGCTGTTGAACACAGAGAGGTGGGTGACTGTCCAGGTTCAGGATGGGGTGAGGGGTAGTATTCCATTACACTTCCTTTCGATTTATTATATTCCATCCTTGAATACATGCAGTAGCATGGCACCAATTAACTTGGTGCATTCAGATAAGAGCCAGCCTCACTCTGAGGGAGCCAAAGAGCCATCTTTGGTGTCACCAAGGAGACACACATAAAGACCAGAGACATTATAGTATCCTACATGCTTTGGGGCTAGGCCTGGAAGGTTGTATTACTCTACAGTGCATTTATTCATGTAAACTTTTAAAAAAATCCCCCAATGGAATATTAGTTTTAATACAAAATAATAAAACAGTTTATATGAAGGGAGCTGGACCTCCTTTGCGTATGTACCATTGATGCTTTGAAAATATAGTAAATCAAGCACACTTGGGTCCGTGTCTTTTATAAGTTTCCCTTGTTTCTTCCTTCCTTCCTCTGTGGAATTTCTCAGTATCTTGAAAGTAAGTACACGGCAATCCTCTCTCAGCTGGAACCAAAATGGAAGGAGACTTTTTCGCTTAAGTGGAGACAGAAATTCTTGTGTAAAATGGAGAAAAATGCCTACCACATGCCTGACGCCCACACTCCAGTTTACACCAGTGTAACTCCTATTAAATTCAGGGAAGCTGGTTGTTATATATACTGGAGAGTGAAGCCCAGTAAGTCTAAGTCTCTTCTCACTTATACAACTAATAAATCAAATGAAATCAATGCACCAGTGCTTCTACAAATCCAGTTTAAGGCACATGAAGGATGGTAAAAATTAAGACAGAAGAACATCTTTGTACCAAAGAGATTTTAGAGGTTCTATTCAATTCAGGGAGAAAGCCTTTCAAAGATCGATCTTGCACATTAGGAATACAGTGTTGCCCGGAATGCATGGTCAAAATCAGGGCTTCATAGTTCTAGGCACTACACATACACCTAGCATGAAATAGTCTCTGCCCTCAATGGCTTATACTATAAATAAGACAGTCCAAAAGTGGAGAAGAAGCATTTCCAGGTAAAAGTTTCATAAGTATCTAAGGTTGGTCTACACTAAAAGGGTAAGTCGCTTTAAGATACATAACTCCAGCTATGTTAATTATTTAGCTGGAGTCGAAGTATCTTAAATCGCATTTTGGCACCATCCGCACAGCAGGAAGTCAATAGGAGCACATACTCCTGTCGATTTCCTTTTCTCCTCATGAGGAGTGGGAGTACCGTCAGTTCAAATTAGCGGATCTTCACTAGCAGCTCTAATTGGAATCCCAGAAGATCAGCTGTGGCAGCTTTGATCTTCTCTGTAGTGTAGACAAGCCCTAAGTAATATGGATCTTGCCTTTGAGGATCTGGGCATAAGTTTCCATTTTCAAAAAGGACCTAAATCCCTTATAAGTTTTTGGAAGTTATATCCCCTATCACATTTTAGGGATGGAGAACTAGGAGGGTGGTGAAGTACTGGAATGGGTTACCTAGGGAGGTGATGGAAGCTCCATCCCTAGAGGTTTTTAAGTCTCGACTTGACAAAGCCCTGGCTGGGTTGATTTAGTTGGGGTTAGTCCTGCCTTGGGCAGGGGGCTGGACTTGATGACCTCCTGAGGTCTCTTCCAGCTCTATGATTCTATGAACAGATACATTCATTGTCACTTGTTCAAGGTCTTTTAGGGTATGTCTACACTAGCTCGTTAGTTCGAGCTAGGTAGGGTAATGAGGGCAAGCGGAGTTGCAAATGAAGCCCGGGATTTAAATATCCAGGCTTCATTTGCATGTTCCAGGGCTCCGCAATTTTTAAATCCCCCTTAATCCGAACTCCATGCCCGCGGCTACAGACGGCACGGAGTAGGTAGTTCGAATTAAAGAACATAAATGGTATGGCCCTCATTCCACGAGGAGTAATGGTAGTTCAAATTAGGATCTTTAATTCGAACTACCTACTCCGTGCCGTCTGTAGCCGCGGGCATGGAGTTCGGATTAAGGGGGATTTAAAAATTGCGGAGCCCTGGAACATGCAAATGAAGCCTGGATATTTAAATCCCGGGCTTCATTTGCAGCTCTGCTTGCCCTCGATACCCTACCTAGCTCAAACTAACGAGCTAGTGTAGACGTACCCTTATTGATTTCAGTGTTCATTGGCTCAAATCCCTAGTACATCCACTGCCTTACTCACCACATACTAATTTGTTTCAAGCCATGGGTAGCTAATACTGCTGATGAAAATCCAAATGGGAAGCAGTTATGTATACTGAGTACAAACAGGTCAGTCTGCTTTCACACGTCTCAGACATTAACGAGAATTGGCTTCATAGCTCAGAAGGCAGGATATGGCCCCATTTTACTTCAGAAATGCTGAATCTTCGCTAACACCTAACTAGCTTTTTAGCTGGAGTGAAGTTTATCCAAATACAGATGCAGCCAATGAAACAACGGTAACATTTAAAAAAAAATTGAGGGGCCTGGCAGCTTCATTTTAATTAAGACTGTCAGTATTTGTTTTTATAAGTCATGTTGCTAATAGCTTAGAACACAGCTATCTTCATTTACATCAGGACACAAAACACAACAAAATTGATGAATCTAGAAGCAATAATAAAAGACTGATTTTAAAATGTGTTGGTTATGAGAAACATGGACACTGCATGTTTCTAGAAGAAGGAAGAATTTTACATTTGTACTATACAGCACTATACAGTGACTTTGTTCAAATGCATATTGATTTAGTGGACCCACTTTCTCCAAAGGTGTCATAATGCGTCATCAAGATGTTAAAACACTAAGGCTGCGTCTAAACTGGCAAGTTTTTCAGCTTTTGCGGAAAAACTTGCCAGCTGTCTACACTGGCTGCTTGAATTTCCGCAAGAACACTGACGTTCTCATGTAAGATTGTCAGTGTTCTTGCGGAAATGCTATGCTGCTCCTATTCGGGCAAAAGCCCTCTTGCGCAAATGCTTTTGCGCAAGAGGGCCAGTGTAGACAACGCGGTATTGTTTTGCGCAAAAAAGCCTCGATCGCGAAAATGTCGATCGGGGCTTTCTTGCGCAAAACCGCGTCTAGATTGGCACGGATGCTTTTCCACAAAAAGTGCTTTTGCGGAAAAGCATCCGTGCCAATCTAGATGCTCTTTTCCACAAATGCTTTTAATGGAAAAACTTTTCCGTTAAAAGCATTTGCAGAAAATCATGCCAGTCTAGACATAGCCTAAGAAGTCAGAATGGCATCATTTTATGCCCAATTGAGTGAACATGGTGCAGGGCAGTGAAGAATCTAGTCCATAATTGGTTAGGCCTCAGTTTCACAAGCTGATTTGCCCAGGCATACCCTTGTGGTCTCTTAAACCTGCCCAACATCAGTAGAAGGCAGTTCTGACCAGAGTATAAAGCACTGCATTGGAACATGGGAGACTTGAGTTCCATTCCTACCTCTGCCACTGACTGTATGACCTTGGACAAAACACTTCCCATCCTTGGGCCTCAGTTTTCACAACTATAGAATGGGGATAGTGATACTGACCTTCATTGTAAATTACATATAAAACTGATGACTATTATTATCAGAAGGCCCCATCCATAATGTGAGGCAGCTTGCAAGATCAGAGCTTTATAGTGTAATGATTGCAGTCAAGGTAGAAGGCCTGGAGGGTATAAGGACAGCGGGCTTGATTTCTGTTTATACTCCAAGCCTGATTCTCTATTTCTGACCACACAAAAGGACCAATATATTGCCAATCAGAGCCAATAAGTAGTCAATGGAAGTTTTGGAGGTTGGAGATGAATGGGTGGGATTGATTTTTAATATTTTCCCCCTGATGTTGTTATCACTAACAAAGAAAAAAAACAGGTCAATATATGCACCAACTAACTTGACAACGTACACGTAGTGCAACATTCTTAGATGTGCAGGATAAATTAGTTGGGCACGAGTTCAGAACTTAAATTCTGGATTTTTTCCTTTATCTTTGTCTGAAATCACATAGGAAGAGGAGCATTTGCAAATCATCACTGAAATACCCAACTGAATATTCAGCACTCCCCACCCCTAGAAATTACCTGTTTGCTTATCAATTTATGGGATTTATTCATCAAAGTTAGGCCGCCAACCTGCAAAACTTGGGCTACTCATGTATAAACTTACTCATATGCTTAAGCATTGCAGGTTTGAAGTTAAAATTTGGTGTGAAATTAAATACAGAGGAATCCTTCTCTAGCTGTGCATATTTTTGTTAAAAAAATAGCATTTGGATCATTTTGATTCTGTGCCAGTGAGGAAGAATAATAGGACAGTTCAAAAACTCTTGGAAGAAAGCTGTTCAATTATGTGAGCATCTTGTAATAAAGTCTCGAGCCGGCTAAAATTAGATCTTAAAGAGTATGAATATGCAGTAGCATTTTGCATTCCAAAGGGGGTTTGTTTTCTAAAAGTAGCACTAGTGAACCGAGGGCCTGTCTATACAAGGAGCTGGTCCTGATTAACTCTACTTGAATGCTCTTTGGAAGTGATCCGGAATAAGGTAGGTCTTTTCCTGAATAAAAGCATCACTATATGTCAGTCAGAAATAGTTAATCCCCTTTAAATTAACAGCACACCTTAATCTGGTTTAATTTTCCTCTGTGAACAAGCTCTAAATCTTACTAGACTGGCATATATAATGCCTCCTCCACATTTCTTGCCATAGCGCTTAATTTAATTTATGCAAAATACAAGTTAAGAGCATTTACAAAGATAAAGGGCAGGGCCTGCACAAAAAATACATGAGCATCTCAGATCAAAATGCACTATTTCACGGGTGCAGCTCCCATGTCATTAAAGGTCTCCAACTAAGGAAGGATCCCGAAGCCCTGGTCCTCTCTATTACAGGTTGAACCTCTCTAGTCCGGCACTGTCTGGTTCAGCAACATCCGTGGTCTGGCATGATTTTAGTTAGCCAGATATCTACTTATTATGGGTATGGCCAAATTTCCCACAGTCCCATAAAGTTTGTTTTCAGCTACCAGTCCTGAGTTTCAGTGTTCTATGCTGTTAGTTAGCTCCAATTGACCCCAAAATGTTTTCTAAGAGCCCAGTAAGCAGTGGAATTGTTGGTAAATGCTGCTAGACAGCATTGACCTGCCGTGGTTTGGCAGATTCTCTAGTTTGGCACCATTCAGGTCCCAAGATTGCCAAACTGGAGACGTTCAACCTGTATTATTTTTAAAAGTATCAGCAACCATGGAATTTGTGCATCTCAATGTTGCTCAAGGGTATCGTGCATTTACATTTTTGGACAGCATTACGTGCTATAAAATTATTCACAAGCCCATGACACTCAACAGGAAAAGCACGGGCTTAATTCTCCTCTGTCTCAGGTGTGAATCAGTAGTTCTGTGGAATTCAGTTAGCCCAATTCATTGTTGCTCTGCACCTTATGCAGCCATGTACATGAGAGTGTAAACTGAGTATAGAAACCTATCAGATTAGGATGGTGGCATTTTGCACTGATGTAAGTGACTACACAAAGCTAAGACAACAGTGAATCAAGCCCAACCAGTCTATGCTGGCATGAAATTGGTGTAAGTGAGAAGAGATTAATAGAACCCACAAGTTAACTCTGCCGTCCTAGACCTAGAGTTAGTTTTCTCTGACCTCAGTGCAGAAAGTGATTATTTTTAGTAATCAATCAGGCTAGCAATTGAGAAAAATACAATAAAATGAGATAGGTGATCAAGAGGCCACACAGAACTTTTAACTCTAACTTTAATACATATCATACATAGGTGCATGGGCAGCAGGTGAAGGCAAATCCCAGCCCCACCCCTTCTGCCCAAAGTCCGCCCCTGAAGCCAAACCCCACCCACTCCCAGCCCAATCCTTCCTGGCCACCTAGAGAGTTGGGGCTGCCATACTGCAGCCTGGCCCCAACCCTCCCTGGCAGCCAGAGAGCAAAGCTGCCGCTCTACTGTCCCATCCTTTGCTGGTGGCTGGGTTCTTCTCACAGAACTCTTTCTATTCAGTTTGAAAAAGCAGGAAGCAACCCTAACAAGGCAGGTTTTCTCA